AGCAACATGTTGCCTAGTGTATGGAGGCCTTTATAATGGATTGTCACAAATATGTGACATCTATCTTATAGATCTATATATAGACAGATATATATCTTATGTATAGATTATGTATAGATCTATTAATTAAAAAAACAAAGATTGACAGACGGTGTTACAAATCTTAAAGTATATGTATGTTCAATTTCTAGTGGAGTTAGAATATATAATAGAGTATAAAGTAATAATAGCTATGGTTACGAAGCCAGCTAAAAAGCCAAAGAAGTTAAGAATGAGTGCAGTCTGGCGCTTTGAATACATGGTAAAAATATCACCAGCCATTTCAGCATCTCTTGCCTACAATAAAGAGTCACAGCATTATGATAAAGAATTCTATTGTACTAACTTTAAAAACAAAGTATAAAGCTGGAATAAGACAAAAGAGTGGCGTAAATCCAATTGGAGACAATAGAAAGAGCTGAATAATAGTGAGCATCAAAAAGTTGTCACTTGGACTTTGATTGCAACGATAAACCAAATGAAAGTCACGCGTGAGCTGAGGCTGAGAGATGACAAGAGGCTGAGGAATGATAAGAGGCTCCCTGCTATTGAATGAAGGACTATCATTCTATAAACAAGAACAAAGGACATCAGTAATGGAAGGAAATGATTGGAACCTCGTTCTGAATTATTTGTGGATTTTCTTCAGCATCAACCAAACTTGGAGGAAAAGGGACAAGAGCAGCTGTATTAAAGCAAAGTAGACATTTGGAAAACTAATGGAAGGAAATGATTGGAACCTCGTTCTGAATTATTTGTGGATTTTCTTCAGCATCAACCAAACTTGGAGGAAAAGGGACAAGAGCAGCTGTATTAAAGCAAAGTAGAACTTACTGTTCTGAGCCATATAGCTGCAGGGGCAGGCAATGAAGCCAATCAAGGGCTAAAATTTTTTACCGGAACTTCCGGAAGATCACATCATCATAATTAGAGTAACGGTGAGAGTTTACGGACAGCGGTAGTCTAGTATACGGACATTTAAAGTTCAACGTACCATTAAAATTTTAAACATTTGATTAGAAACCCAATTTTTTCCTGAGGGGTAGAGCTCTCCTACTGCAATAGCTAGAACCAATTTCAGCAAGTTTGCAATAGCTATTCCATGTTATATTTGACTGCAAATGATTATGGTCGATTGCTAAGTCCAAATAATCAAATGTCTCTTAAAATACAAAAAACCTCAACAGCTTGAAACTGCAGACTGAAAGTTTTGAATATGCCAACATTATATATCAATACGAAGGAAATTAATTACACTATTTGATGGAATTATGTAAAACAATATATAAATAATGTAGTAAGAGTTATTTAAGAGCAAATACACCTTGGTGACGGAGGCAGTTACTAGACAGTGATAATAATCACACAGTAACAGCTAACACAAGGGGGGAATGGAAGACTGAAGACTTGGAAAAGGCTATAGAGACAGTTTGTGATGAAAATACTCCAGCTTCAAAATTAAGCAAGTTTCAGCAAGGCTTGGTCCATCACCTATGCAAGAAAATCACTAAATTTCATCCTTACTATCATTGCTGTTTAGTTTATTGCTCAGTTACCTCAGAAAAGTTGTTGGGTAATATTGATACTAAAAGGTAAACAATTCATCTTGAAAGTAAAACATTACTTCAATGATATTAGCAATAACATTGGCATTAAGTTGTCTAAACGCTCGTCCCATTTGTGAATATCACGCATACATCACAATTAATCCCATAGTACAGCTTGAACTAATAAAAAAACAAAATTTGACAGTGCAAAGTATACGTTCAATTTAAATTTGGCTTAGAATAAATATGCATTAGTGTAAAAAGTAATAATAATGATGTTTATGAAGACGGTAAAAAAGCCCAAGAAGTTAAGAATGAGCGCTAGCTGGCGCTTTGAATACATGGTAAAAATATCACCATTCATTTCAGCATCTCTTGCCTACAATAGAAAGTCACAACATTATAAAGAATTTTATTGTGCTAACTTTGAAAACAAAGTATAAAGCTGGAATAGTACAAAAGAGTGGAGTAAATCCAATTGGAGTACAGAGAAAAAGCTGAATAATAGTGAGCATCAAAAAGTTGTCACTTGGACTTTGATTGCGACGATAAACCAAATGAAAGTCATGTGCAAACTGAGGCTGAGTAAAGACAATCTCCCTGCTATTGGATGAATGACTATCATTCTATAAATAAGAAAAAGGGCAGCATACATGCATTGGTAATGGAATGGAATGATTAGAACCTCGCTCTGAATTATTTGTGGATTTTCTTCATTATTAACTGAACTTGGAGGAAAAGGAACAAGAGCAGCTGCAGTGAAGCAAAGTAGACATTTGAAAAACTATTAACTTGTAGCTAAACTTACTGTTCTCCATACTCTGTTAGTACAAAAACAAATCTGTTTGTCGCGTCTTTTGTCAAGTGCATACTTATATAGCAATTGCATAATGGACGACTAACAAAGGGAACAGAAATCAACAACAGTTCCCAACAAAATATTAGCTAGATATTATACACATAGTACTTGCTAGTACATTATGCAACCAATGTAAGTTCCAAAACAGTTTCAATAAAGCAAACAAGCGCACAACACAGACACAAGAATGTACTCACATCACATGCAACCATCAAATAGATCAACTATACATATTTTAACTTGTTGTGGCATGTACTTTTAACACGTGCATCTATTTACTCTTCATTTTTTCATGGTAGTATCTATTAACTAATAAAAACAAAATTTGACAGACTGTGTTACAAAACTTGAGGTAAGTTTAGCATGAGGTGTACGTAACATAAATGTTACTGGTAGCGGGATAATGAGACTAACAAATTAATGATATAAATATTTAGGATGATGTTTATGAAGCCAACAAAAGAGCCAAGGAAATTAAAAATGAGAGCTAGCTGGCGCTTTGAGTACATTGTAATGATATCACCATTCATTTCAGCATTTCTTGCCTACAACAAAAATCAAAACATGATAACAATTCCAATTACATTCATTTGAGGCTTTAAAAGTCAACCAAACTAAAAGATTTCTATTGTACTAACTTTGACAGCAAAGTATAAAGCTGGAATAATGCAACAGAGTGCCATAACTCCAATTAAACTGCATAAAAAGAGCTGAATGATAGCAAGCGTAAAAAAGTTGTCACTAGGACTTTGAGTACGACGATAAATCAAATGAAAGTCATGCGCAAACTGAGGCTGAGTAAAAACAATATCCCTGTTATTGGATGAACGACTATAATTCTATAAACAAGAACAAAGGACAGCATTATTGCATCAGTAATGGAATGAAGTGATTGGAACCTCTCTTTGAATCACTTGTGGATTTTCTTCAACTGAACTTGGAGGAAAAGGGACAAGAGCAGCTGCATTAAAGCAAAGTAGACATTTGAAAAACTATAACTTGTAGCTAAACTTACTGTTCTCCATACTCTGTTAGTACAAAAATGAATCTGTTTGTTGCGTCTTTTGTTAAGTGCATACTTATAGTCTAGTAATTGAAAATAGAGTGCATGATAAACAACTAACAAAGGGAACAGAAAATCAACAACAGTCCACAACAAAATATTAGCTAGATACACACATAGTACTTGCTAGTACATCATGCAGCCAATGTCAAGCTCCAAAACAGCTTCAATAAAGCAAAACAATTTATGCACTCCAGCACACAACACAGACACAAGAATGTACACTCATCACATGCAAGCTCAAATAGATCAACTATACATATTTTAATTCATTGTGGTCTGTACTTTTAACATGTGCATCTATTTATACTCATTTTTTCATGGTATTATCTATTAACTAATAAAAACAAAATTTGACAGGCTGTGTTACAAAACTTGAGGTAAGTTTATAGTATGAATGTTTACTAGTAGCCAAATATAGACATTAACAAATTAATATTTAGGATGATGTTTATGAAGCCAACAAAAAAGCCAAAGAAGTTAAAAATGAGAGCAAGCTGGCGCTTTGAGTACATTCTAATGATATCACCATTCATTTCAGCATTTCTTGCCTACAACAAAAAATAAAAACATGATAATGATTCCAATTACATTCATTTGAGACTTCAAAGTCAACCAAACTACAAGAGAATACTATTGTGCTCACTTTGACAGCAAAGTATAGAGCTGGAATAATGCAAAAGAGTGCCATAACTCCAATCACAGACCATAGAGCAAGTTGAATAATAGTAAGCATTAAAAAGTTGTCACTAGGACGTTGATTGCGCTGATAAATGAAATGAAAGTCATGCGTGGGCTGAGGCTGAGTAAAGACAATCTCCCTGTTATTGGATGAACGACTATCATTCTATAAATAAGAACAAGGGCAGCATACATGCATCAGTAATGGAACGAAATGATTGGAACCTTGTTCTGAATTATTTGTGGATTTTCTTCTTCATCATCATCAACTGATCTTGGAGGAAAAGGAATAAGAGCAGCTGCATGGAAGCAAGGTAGACATTTGAAAAACTATAACTTGTAGCTAAACTTACTGTTCTCCATACTTCGTTAGTACAAAAATGAATCTATTTGTCACGTCT